GTTCTGTCTGACGACAGGTCGATATGAACAGGATCCTTCCATCCTTTTTCTCGGACTGGGACCTGTTCATATACGTTCTTGGCAGATGATCCAGAAGTGGTTTGCCATTGCCTTCTTCTGTGTGTGAATGGAGTAATTGTTGGGATGCCACGGAGGAAAACTCCGTGTTGCCTAGACCACGGCCTTGCCCAACACAAGTCCAAATATTGAGGAACTTTACTAAGCGTCTCATGGATTATAGAACTTGCATTACAATTCCCCACAATACTTATATTAAAAGGGAATCATTTATACACACAACCATTACATACGTCTTCTTGAGACATCAGTTTTTGTAGAAACAAATCCCCTCTTGGGATCAGACTGAGTTACCGCTTATGACCACCAAAATTTGGAAACAAAACCAAAGTTAAACATCACTGCCTTCAGTTTTCTTTATGATTCTACGTCAAAGATATTACTTCGGCGTGGCAGATGGCTTCAGGTATGCGTGTAGCCTAAGTATGTAGGGGAGTACATGGAGAATTGAATGTACCAGATCAATCTCTACAGCTCTTCATTGAAATGTCAGGAAGAACATGAGAAATGATTTTACGTCACAACTCAGAAAAAAGAACGAACATGTGATGTGTAATGTCACATTTATGTCAGTGGTGCAGTTGATTTGTTAATATTTATAAAACTTCTGTCTTCATGAATCAGACGCCATCTTAAGGCTTTGACCGGGATGTTCTTTTGTTAAATCTTATGTGGTACCGCCTGATTCGACTTCTAATGGTTAAGTGAAGTGTTTTCTTCGCGGTACGGTCTGGATTCGTAAATATTATGAAGACGAGCTTCGGCTTCAAAGGGTTAACCAGCTGATTTTCGTAATGGTGAGGTGTAGTGTTTTCTTCGCGGTACGGACTGAATTCATAAATAATAATCAGACGATCTTCGGCTTCAAAGGGTTAAGAATCTCATAGTCGCTAAGGTGATGCTTTTAAACGATCATCAGAAAAAAAGACCGAACCTTGCGTTTAAGTGATGAGCTCTCCTGTTTCATAATCTGGAGGTCCCAGATCTTGGCCCGGAGATCACCTATCCTTACAAAAGTCTTGGAGGTTTTACTCAGCCCCTGCAAGGAAATACCTTGAAATATACCATGATCTCATCCTTCAACATTCCTTCTAATTCATTATTCATTAATCAACTTGTTCCGACGCTCTGTAATCTGAGAATTAGTAGCTTCGTTGAATAAATAATAGGCTAAATAAGTAAATCATGAACATAGACCATAGGTTCTCAACCCGCGGCCCGTCGATACTTGTTCAGCCGGAAAGCATTTTTATATTTACTAGACGATGGATAATATCCAAGGAAAAAGTCCGGAGATAGGGATTACCTCTATCTAGTGGGCCCAAGTGTGTAGGAACCTAAAGACGGAGATAGAGTTCCATCTCCGAAACGTCGTTTTACGTTTTATATTTACTAGACGATGGATAATATCCAAGGAAAAAGTCCGGAGATAGGGATTAGCTCTATCTAGTGGGCCCAACTTTGTAGGAACCTGAAGACGGAGATAGAGTCCCATCTCCGAAACGTCGTTTTACGTTTTATATTTACTAGACGATGGATAATATCCAAGGAAATTTTTATTCAAATGACTCTTCAGAACCTGAAGACGGAGATAGAGTCCCATCTCCGAAACGTCGTTTTACGTTTTATATTTACTAGACGATGGATAATATCCAAGGAAATTTTTATTCAAATGACTCTTCAGAACCTGAAGACGGAGATAGAGTCCCATCTCCGAAACGTCGTTTTTACGTTTTATAATTACTAGACGATGGATAATATCCAAGGAAATTTTTATTCAATTTCTGTAACATGTTTAAACATATAATGAATTCTCTATAAATTAAACTAAACTCGCTTGTTCACTCTATGGTGCAGAATTTTCTTTGAAAAGTCGATTGTATACTCGGCTTGTCAAATAATAGCCCACTTTCTTTACGGAACCCGAAAGTTCGTCACCGCCTTCACAAACGTCCGCCACCGGACTCTGTCCTGAGCTAGCTGCATATTGCCAAAGAATCAGTCTTAAGTCCGAGGCGGTTTTAGACATTTCGTAATAAAAACAAGTTTTTACGGTGAGTGGTTGTTAGCCCCACGCCCAATCCCCAAGCTGGAGGACCACCCCTTGTTGGCTGTCCGCAATTGCTTATGTAACATGCAACCCCGAGGACGCGCAGTGCCGTGTACACATTTCATTTTGTGTGAAAGCTAAGTAAACCGACAAATTAAATTTATTAAACTGAGATGTAATAGCGTAGACTGTTTCACATGACATTTCGATAAATCGTTGTCTTTTGTTTATAATCAGGCGGTCCGCGGATCGATAATTAACGACGAATGTTATATAAGTTTGAGGCCCCCAGGCATGTAATACAAATGCGTAATATGCGACGAAAGTAATTGTATTTGTCTGTTTATTTTCAGAATACGTTACGCATTAAATTATGTAATTACGCAAAAAAATGTATTTTATGTCTTTAATTATTTATCTACGTATTTGCCTCTGTAACTACAGATCTACCCATCTCCCTATCTACCGAAACTATCTGCCTATCTGTTCAGGCCTGTCTGTCTAGGTTTATCTGCCTTTCCATCAGCATTCATGGGTGTGTATGTGTTTAATAATGCACGTGTGTACTTTTTTATTTGTAGTGTTCTGTCTGAGGACAGGTCCATATGAACAGGATCCTTCCATCCTTTTCTCGGACTGGGACCTGTTCATATACGTTCTTGGCAGATGATCCAGAAGTGGTTTGCCATTGCCTTCTTCTGTGTGTGAATGGAGTAATTGTTGGGATGCCACGGAGGAAAACTCCGTGTTGCCTAGACCACGGCCTTGCCCAACACAAGTTATAAATTCGGGCACCGCCGGGAATCGAACCCGAGACCCCAGGATTACAAGGCCAGCGTTCTAACCGCTAGACCACCGTGGTTATACGTGTGTAGATTTTCATATATTTTCTTATGCATATTTATATATCAGTGGTTTGTTTAACATCGCTGTTAGTAGCTGAAACTACACTTCGCCCTGCTCTGTATATGGACCCCTTTAATTAAGGTTTGAATCGATTATATTGTTTTCTCGTTCAATATTACCTGGTAACGTTTCTGTAAAGTCGCTGAGTTTCACGTAGTTAAACTGACAAAGCACTTATTTACTGTGTTTGTCTTCACTTTGAAAACATTCATGATCCCAAAATGAAACTCTGTCGCCCACAAACACTGCAGCTGTTACAAGATGCTTAAAGTCACGCTGTTGACGTGATGAACTGTCACTTGTGAAACGATCGTGAGGGAAGACGGGGTAATTGTAGAACTGAAGTTGCGGACAATTCTGGGGATCTTTTCAAGAGACAGAGATATTCAAAATGGTGTAAGCTGCAGGCCTACGAGTTCGTAAGCATACGTTCTTTGGGAATAACTGTTAGGACAAAACGTTCATCGTTATAACGAACGCTTCTAAAAAAAATATATTACCGAAGTAAGATAAATAAATAGTTTTAACAATTTGAATCTTTTGAAGCTATTTTATTCTTCGTATTTATTAAAATACTCACCACATCTTGGAGTATTGATAGATGTCTTTAGTTTCTTCTGTCAGATGAAGGACGTCCATTTTACATTTTAAGCGATGAAACGTCATCGTAAAAAGTTTGTATCTTCATCGCCAGATTTATTTTGTTTATCTTAAATTAATGGCACACAGGTTTTAAAATTACGCTTAAGACAACGTATGTTGAAAAACAAAGCAGATTTGAGTTTTAACTGTGATGATTTGAAATGTCTTCCCCTAAATACGGCTCCCTCGTGAAATGACACTTACGGTGACAAAGTAAGAAGAATTGAAAAAAATGTATATTCAAGCGAGTAGGCAGCCAGGAATAAAGATTCACATTTCTCTAAATCTGTCTCCAACTACGCGGTACTTCCGCACCGGATCACACGTCCACGGCAACTGAGTTGCACAGTCGCATTACAATCTTCCTCCAGCATCCTCTCGATGCGCAGTCAGTTTCTGACTCAGTCAAGAGATGGCGTTCTGTTCGTGCAAAATTTTCACAAAGAAAATACTGCCAAGTAGTTCGTATTTTATCCGACGAAACCGCTTAGCAAATAGTTCTCAATTTCCCCAATAGATACCAGTTTTAACAAGTAAACCTTGTGATATGTTTAGTTATATTCTCCGAGAGGGCATAACAGACAACTCCGGTTAAAAGACCTGGGGTAATCATCTCGACGAAATGGTTGGACTGCGATATTAAAGACCGGAGGTAAATTCCCCGGCAGGTCATTCTCTGCACCATCACGTCCAGAATTGATCCAAGACACGCCCATCGCCTTATCAAATGCGTATCCGGGGGCTCTTATAGAAGGGTAAAGCGTCCAGAACGTGAAACTGACCACTCTCTTGCACTTGGTGCTGAGGTTATAAATACGTGGAGCTATACCTCTACTCCCCCATACGTCGTTATGGTCTAGTGCTTGATTGATCAGAAGGAAAGCTTTTCTGTGTAAAATTTTTAAATCTTCATGACGGTGGCTACTGCCACAGGTTTGTAATCTTTCTTGCTACGACTCGTGCTTGACATTTTCATTGTCTGAATATCAGTGTTCAGGTTTATTTTAAGATTAAAATTTGGCACATCATTACACTGGAAACAAGTCGTAAGTTATTACCAGTTTATTGCGTAAAAGATTCTGATGTTATAGCAGGCGTAGTAGTTTTTGGCCGGTGAAGAAGCTGGCGGACGGGCCTAGTCTGTGTACCTGAGATGGCACGGTCAGTGCGTTTCTTTTGTTTGGGCGTTCAGTCCGATAAGCTCCTCGGTGCAGTTAGCACAAGAGACTCGCTCCTAGCCTTCCCCTTGAAAATTCCACCAGCCAAAAACTACTACGCCGACTATATCTGGCGTTTAAAGAAATTATTAATCCTGTTTTATTCAAGTTCATTGTTATAACCGAAGAATTTTGGAGATGTTATCTTTATTCAGAATGAACAGGAAACGGACAATGTGAAAGCGAAGCGACGTTGTATTGTTTACATCAGCCATATTTCTCAGTGCTGCCACCTTCTGGGTTTGCAAGTAAATACATTAGTAATTAAATATGTAACAAGAAAATAACTACGCATATAATTAAGTTAACAAATCAGTTCAGTCGGCAAGTGGCTGAATGAATCCGTCAATAAATCAACAGTTTTCATTAATCATATATTTTGGAGTTCGCAAGTATCAAATTATTACATTATTTCTTTGCAGTCAGTTGCTTCGTGTTACACGCCATTTTATGAGATCTAAGTAATTATATCTCGTTCCAAATCTTCATTGTGTTTCCAATCTTTCGGCTCACGATTTCATTCGTCGTTTATATACAAAATGACAAAACATATTTTGGGACTTCTCAGTGAAAAGTTTATAGTTATTCAGATGATCAATAAATTTCTCGCTTTTAAACCGAATGTTTATTTACGTGTTTACAAAAGGTCACAGTTGGGTCGTGTCTTCTGCCCCAGAAACCCAGTTCACACCCCTTGGTTTAGTTGTATGACAGGTTCTATTAGTCCATAGATACATTAATAAATATTATATAAGATTCCATTTGGTCACGTGATAGAGACAGACTAGAAACGAAACATTTTCTTCGTGGAAGTACTTTCTTTTAAGTATATTGTAACACAGTATTTGTAAGAAAGTATGGATTTTATCATTACATAGGAGTATCGACTGTATGTCAAGGTAAGCCAGTTGTTTTATGATACGTAAATGTCTGTTACCCCAGAGCCCTCTGATGGAGGCGTGTTCAATGTCGCTTACATTTCTGAGCGGCCATCTTTAATATTTCAGGGAACGTAATAATATCTGTTCTTTTGTTTCGTTCAATAATATTCAAACTGCAGCAACACTTGTTTTTTTTATAGAGTTCTACCAGTTTCACATAGATGGCAGGAGATTGGTATATATTAGGAATAGGATGATAATTTTTTAGTAAACATTATTTACGAGAAAACATAAACTTGTTGATAATTATGCCCTATTAGTAAACATTATTTACGAGAAAACATGTACTTGTTGATAATTATGCACTTCTATCTGCCTGTTTGCGCTCGTAAGAACATTTTAACCAATTGGTGGATTTGTGAAACTTGATATGAATGGTTTGCCACTAGAAATTATCCAAGTTTTGCATTTTTTAATTTTCTGCATTAATAATACCAACATGGCTGCTGTGCGAATTCTATGGTAATATAACTTCGGCACTTAACCTGGAAACCGCGAAAATCTACGAACAATAATTGTTTGATAATAAATCTTTATAAAAAATGTTAACTTGTGTTACGTGTATAATGAAAAACAATATTATGACTATCGCATTGTTATAAATACAGATATCGTTCGGTTTAATGACGATAGCTCGTGAACCATCGGACAGAGGCCTACGAAATTGCGTGTAGAGGGACACGATAATGTACTTGGTTACAAATTGTGTAATAAATGTGATATGTATTAACAGTACAAACATGGCGACGGTGCGAATCATTTTGGTTGTACCTGACAAATTCAACGCCTTCGGAATATTTATCTGGGACATTATTTGCATAAATATAACACCATTTATATGCTTATGAGTTAAGAGTTCTTGATAACGTAACTGAATATATTAAAGCTTATTAAATAAATTAGGCGCTGTAAATTCCCAATATTTCTGGTAGCAAAGAACGGATAGACAGAGGGTTTCCTTGGATACATAAACCAAATTGTTTCATAAAAATAAAAAGTTTCCAGTGGAACCAAGGTTGCGGAGAATTAGACGTAAATACGTCTATACGGAAAGGAAGTTTATATATTGGCTTTATTCTAAATATTTCCTTTATACATGCTTTACAATTGAGTAAAGTTTGATTAAGACTTTGCTTATTTAACTTGAATTAGTTACA